GCGATCAAGAAGTGTGGCACTAAGCAACCCTTAGGAATACAAATACTTAAGGAACTGAGTTAGAAAGAAGAGAGAGAAGAGAAGCAGAAGAATGGGAAGGGCCGATTTCAAGGAGGTGGGCGCAAGGCAGGAGCAAGAGCTTGATGTCTCCAGGTGTTTGAGACAAGCGTTAGAGCGAACAGCATTCTAAGAACACAAAACACTTGTATTCCGCCAGCGCTCCTCACAACAACCCTATAAGGTAGGCCAATATTACTACCCCCATAACTTGGAAAGCAAAGATGTCAATGCTTGGTTCAGGATGCCCAATGAGTTTATAACTCAGCAGCAATTCGAACCCAGGAGACTCTCAAGTTACAGCCTGCACGCTAAGCCCAAGAAACACACCTGTCATTTGGAAGTGAATCAAGGTGCCCAGGAATCTCCTGTTTTAGAGGAGTCGAAGCAAGACACGAAGCAGGCAAGACGGACCCTTAAAGGTGTGGGATTCCCTCCCTCCACACCTCTAGCATTGAAGAAGAAAAAGATATTCGACCCAGAAAGCAAAAGCTACAAGGAGGCTGATTCTTCTCAGCTGTATACATATTCAAAAGAGCTAAAGATGCTGACAAGGGTCTTATGTTTTTAAGCCATTCAACCAGGCATGCTCCACAGCTGCAAAGGAAAACAGCTCAGGTACACAAAGCAGGCAAACTGCCCTTGTGTTTAAGGAGACATTTTGTGCCTATAGCAGTTCCCAAGGCTGCAATTCTCTACACATTTACACTATCAGTGGATTCACTCCTCAAGTCAACGTGCATGGGATCAGGCAGCAATGCCAAAGAGGAACTTGTCGTAGCAAGAACTGTGCACTTCTGTGAGAGATCTTACTGCTTTATCATGCTGTGCAGCGAGAGTTATCTGAACTGGTTACAAAAAGCTTTAAACTCAAAAAACTTGAAAGGGTGCGAAGTGTCATTTTGACTAATCGTGGGAGCCCTTTTGAGACACAGTGCAGACGGTTCTGTTGAACTCAGACGTGGAAGTCCAGGGATCCTCAGACACGGACTCCACTGCGGATTCTCCGTGAGGCTCTCTCTCCTCTTCTTCCCCCATCTATGAGACTACCAGCAGCCCATTTTGTGGATGGTTACAGAAAGGACTGAATCGCTCCAAGACTGCAAAGAGCTCTGCGGTAGAAGCACAAAGTTATTAAGAAATGGTTTCTGCAAAACTAAGAATCCTCGTTGAAGAAGTAAACCGTGACACCACAGAGGATCCTGAGCAAAGAAATGCTGAAGAAGCTGATTGGTTACACAATGCTGGTCCAAGTTTTCTTTCGCAAGATGACCTTCCCAGAATGGAGTACTAAAAATATGAAAAAGCAAGGAAGGGGAACAAAACAGTATAGCTTTCTCACAACCACTCCATCCTCGCCAAGTTTATCATGTGGCTAATTGCAATACGGCAGCAATGGACAGAAAAAGACCTAAAGATGATTTTGATTACGGGTCACGAAAGAATAAACTATATGTGAAGGAGACAGAACAGACTCAGCATGAATGCCAAGCCACAGAAATCGGATGCAAGCTTAGGATCCTCCTGTACAAGCAAATGCTATTACCGAAACTTGTTTCAGTTACAGAATTCCAGAAAGTATACCATGCTTGGCTTTTTTATGGGAAGAAAGCTGCCTCACTTTACCAGAGTACATCTCTGGTGTGCCTCTGCATTATTGCTTTCTTTCATAAATGCCACACCTTCTGAATCAATTTTTTTTTTAACTATCCAAGGAAATCCTGCCTTCTTCTGCTGGCCACCTGGCATGAGGGATTTGGCATGATATCACAGCATGATATAGCATCGGCTCCAAAGGTTCGCATCCGGGCCATGCAAGCCAAGACTCTGTACTGTCGGCCGTGACAGACCTAGGCTCAAACCCGTTAAAAATCATTAAATTAAATTTTAGGTGACTCATGGTTTCTCCTGGCCTATCCTACCTCACAGGGCAATCACAGGAGAGAAGCTGCCCTGAAGTTTTTAGAGAAAGAAACAGGGCTGAAACTCGAGAAAAAGAGAAAGGGGGAAAATATGATTAAAGAAGATGGTAACAAAATTACTTAGTATAAGAAAAATGCAAAGCTCTTTTTAAAAGTCTGGAAAATTAAGGATGTGTTTCAGTTGAGAGCCGGTGTGGCACAGGGCTGAGCCATGACTGCCCTGGGTGAAGCCCCACCTTGACAAACTACTCTCTTCGTCTTAGCTCCAGGGGCAACTGTCATGGAATTAAGTCCTGGACTGAGGCTCGGTCCTCTGCTAAACCTATGTGACTTTAATTTCTATAGTAATTAGGCTCTATAGTTGAATCTGTGGTTCTGCTTCCCAGGAGGCTTCAGGACTCTACTAAATGCTGTGGCCTTCCGGTACCGATAACCCTGCACACTCTGCCTTTGGGAATGCTATTACCAAATTCTAAACAGATAAGAGTATCCGAGCCCAGCTTCCTGGGCCTCCCACGTGGCAGACGAGAATTCTACCACTGAACCCCCCCCCCATGCACCCCCCGTTTCTCCAACAGCAATAGGGGGGTGGGGTGGGGGTCAAAACTCTCACCTAACTAACAGTCCCATCCCGCCTACAGCTCCAACGGCTGTAGGCACACACGCACACGACATAAACCCTGAGTAGCGTTACTCGAGAGCAATCCTGCAGATAGCCAGGCTCGCAAGCGACGCTCCCTCTACGCTGTGGAGTCTCGTGAGCAAATATTCCACTTTGTGAGCTCCTGGCGTTAAAGTTGCAAGTCGGTTGCTGCAGAAATGAGTTTGCTCCGGAGCCCTCCTGCTTGAGCCGGAGGCTAAAGAACTGTGAGCCAGCACGCACCGGCTCAGCTTAGAGGGAACGCCGCTCTCGAGGAGTGAGTCTGGAAGTTGTGTTTGCCTGGCTTCCGAGCGGCAAGATCAGGGACTCTCTCCTCTCCTCCTCCCCCCCCATCACCACCACCACCACCACATTTCCACACATGAAGCGGCTGCAGGGCTTGGAAAATATTTGGAGACAGG